AAAAAAGAGAGAGAGAGAGAGAGAGAGAGAGAGAGAGAGAGAGAGAGAGAGAGAAATAAGATAAGAACAGAAAAAGAAGGAGGAATGAGAGTTTGGCTAATTGAGAGGAGAAGGAACAGATAGGGATTTCAACTTCAGAGTTCAAATATAGGCAAGCATTTGTGTCTTGCTTATTGTTGAATTTTGTTTATGATCTCAATTCGTAGTATTCTATTATTCTTGAGTTCTCTAAGAATTTGTTATTATTATTATTATGCAAGAAAATTTTCCTCTTTAATTTTTTTTTCAATATTAGTTTCCATGTTACATAATTATTGTGGAATAAGTTTGTATGCCCAAAGTTAATGTAAGCATTTTTATTTTAGATAATGATATTTTTTTCTCTAACAAGAAAATAAATAAATTTTAAAAATTCGGATAATATTTTTATTATTCGTTTTGGCCCAGTTTAGATAAATTATGTATTTTCGGGTTATTTTACAAATCCTTCCTTCTAATAAGTTTGTTAATATAGTAATCAGAACTTAACTATTATATGTACTTCTGCAACAATACATTTCACATGTTTGTGCTTAGCTTAGTGGTCACAAGACTTGGTTACTAAGTCATTGGTCATGAGTTCAAATCCTATAAGCTTCACTTTTTCAATAATATATATTTTGCTTTGGTTTGAACTTGAACCCGAACCCAAGTCAAACCAGAACCAGTTTGGACCAGCCCGAACCTAAGTCCAGACTAGAACCGAACCCAGATTGAACTAAACCAGAATCGGTTTAGACTAGACCTGAACCGAATATGAACCAGACCATAACCGAATTTGAACCAGACCAGTACAATTTACCCAGAGTGAATCATATCAGACAAAATTTTATTGTAACCAGTCTGGAACAAACTTAAATATAATTCAAGCTCTTGCATAAAAGCCCTGCCATATGTTCCAAGTCTTTATAGATGGAAGCTTTACATTTACATATAAATTTGTTAACTATAGACCAGCTATTGATTTTAGAGATCACCTAAAAGGTCATGAGTAGACTAATATCGGCTTATACATATAGTATTTATTTTGTCTGATATGGTGGTTGACATGAATGACTTTATGAAAAATTGTTACTAAATCACCTAGTTGTTATCCAATAGGAGAGACTGTGCATGAAGACGACTCATGTTAAAAATATGATTTATAAGCGTGCTTTCATAGCATGGCTATGCTCTCGATATCTATACCCTGATATGAGATTTTCTTGGCTATTATTATTATAGCATCGACTAGACGGTGCACACATTCTTGATTGGACATGTTCTTGGTTCACGGTTATTTTTTTATAGTTTTACAGAAGTCATTCCACAGTAACTCTGTGGTTAGTGCACAACATTTCATGCACAGTCAATAAAAATTTAACTGACAAACATGGGGTTTATAAAGGGGAATTGGATGGAGAATATAAAGTGTATATAAGTGGTTCATGTACATATTGATATGATAAATGATAAGGGCTGTACATACTGATTTGATAAATGATAAAGCCAATGGTCAATACAATACTTGTCGTCGTATTCCCGGGACGTTTTACAGGAAAGCCGATTTATATACATGATATCATTCTCCTCTAATTCAAATAACATATAAATTAAGAATAATGTATTTGTGAGCATTGTGATAGACTTTGTTTGATATTTACGATGAGCTTTTTTTTTATCACCTCGAAATTTAGATTTCATATTTTATTTATACTTGCTACATACACTTACACGAGCCAATTTCCTCATTTTACATGCTTGCTAGGAGTTTTCTGACTCCTCTGGGGTTTGTTCGCCCCAGATTCGGGAACCATTCTTTCTTCGCAAGACCGAGAGTTTTTCGAGGGGCAAGCTCAGCAACAATGATCACTTGTTGTTATATCAGTTCTCTACTTCCCTTGTATTAGGTAGTTACATCGTTATGAGACTTGTCATGTAATAAACTTTGGTATTTCAGACTATAATGTATTGATCCTCTTTCCTACTTTGGATAGTTGAGGACATGTAAGAGAACTTTGTCTTGTTCTGATTTCTTTATCTATCAATTTCCCTTTGTTATCTTAGTTGAGGACATGTAAGAGAACTTTGTCTTGTTCTGATTTCTTTATCTATCAATTTCCCTTTGTTATCTTAGTTACATGCTCTATGTAGTAGTTCTTTGTTCTGATTTCTTTATCTATCAATTTCCCTTTGTTATCTTAGTTACATGCTCTATGTAGTAGTTCTATAGGAAATATGTCTGTATACAGGATGATTCAGAGGCGTGAATGTGACTGAATAGTTGCATTGCCGGCCAAGTCACGTCCCTAAGTATTTTATTTTGGTACCTGGGTGTGACAACTTCCATCAGTCGACTGATGAGCTGATCGTTAGAGGTATTTTTCAGCTCATCAGTCGACTGACGAACATTTATCAGTCGACTGATAGATTATCAGTCGACTGGTCAGTCGACCAAAACAAAACAGAAACATTTTGTTATTCCAGGCGATTTCTTCAGTCGACACATCAGTCGACTGATGTCATCAGTCGACTTACCACTCGACTGATAACAGGTTATCAGCCTGTTTTGAATAGTAAAACTGATTTTTAAAGTACCTTTAAAAATAACAAATAAATTCTAAAAAATGTAAAACTTTAAGAAATCATTGTAAACATGTAAATGAACATATTATTTTGTATATAAATACATGTTATTTTCTCAATGAAAGATATGTGAATACAATTCTCTTCACCTCATATTACACACCTGAAGCGAGCCAATCTTCCTCTGACTAACTCCGGATTCTTTGCCAGCTTTTCCAATGGAGTCCACATCCGTTCTGGATGACACAATAATGCTCAGTGTCAGTTTTTTGTTTTTTTCCAAGTGAGTTATACAATGAGAAATCAGCAGATGTTCGAAAAATAATCAACTAAGAACTTAAATTATTGCATGCTAACTTCAGGTGTGTAACACATTCACAACCAATAGTATCCTTCACAACCAACTCATTCCTCCAATATAAATAACTCCCTTTCCTCCCCAAACCCAATCTTCTCTCCTTCACCCCCATCAATGGTCGTTGATCTGATGAACTTCTCAAAAATGGACGATCAGATCGCAATCAAGGAAGCAGTCATCGCCATCCTCCAGAGCATGGAAGCCCTCGTCCTCACCCTCAGCCATCAATCTTCGTCATCTTCTTCCTTTGGCTGCTCGGCCATTATCGACAACACCGTCTCCAAGTTCAAGAAGTTCATCAATGCCCTCGATCAAACAGGCCACGCCCGGTTTAGGCGTGGCCCGGTCCAGCCTCCGACCGAATCTTCATCTCTGTCGCGCTCTCCGGTGATTGTAGCTCGGCCAGCTCTGATTCCTCCTCTAGCGGTGAGTTTCCTGTCTCGAGGGCTCACCCTTGACTTCACCAACCCGAACCCACCACCCACTGATAAGATCACTGGGAAAGGACGGTTTACTGATGATCCTTTCAGCATCTCACCACTGATCTCCGGTAACTCCTCGTTTCCGTCATTGATCACTGCAGATGGAAGTGTTTCCAATGGAAAAGGATCGTCTCTGTTCCACAGACGAGGTATTTGCTGCACTGTGTTTATGTCGTACTCGAACGGGGGGTTCCTGAGGAAGGAGAGTTTGAGGAAGAGAAAGGGTATTATGGTCTTCACATATTTTAATCACTTGAGTTTTGTGTTTTAAGGGCTCAGAGAACTATCGCTTTACTTTTGGGGGTTTTGGGAGTGTTGAAAAAGTCTTGGGAGGGGGTGGAACACTTGTAATGAAATTGGGGGCTAGAAGCAATTTCCCCTTATTTTAATTGTGTAGCTTGTTAATCCATGCTGACAGAGGATTCTTCAGGAAGATTTGAAAGTTAATGCGGGGTTTTGTGAGACACTCTAAACTTGTGGGTGTTTAGTGGAATAAAAAAGTTCAGAACGGTTTTTGTGGAAAAAAACCCCAAAGTTTTTGGAGGGGTTTGTAAAATTTACACCATATACAATGTTAAAGTAAGAGAGAGAGAGAGAATCTTGGGTAAATTTCCCTTGAGTTGAATATTGAGTGTGCACATATATTTATACAAGTAGAGGAGTGTGAGGTGTGTTCTCCTAAGCAATGTGGGACTAAAACCCACTACAATACATTATTATCAACAGCCCCCTTCAAACTCATGTTGGATCAAACAAAGTGAGTTTGCGTACAAGAAACTGGAACCGGTGAACAGGTAAGGCCTTTGTGAAGAAATCTGCAAGCTCGTCAGCGGATGAGACATGAGGAAGTAGAATTGTCTTGTCCTTGATAACTTGGTAACGGACAAAATGAGCGTCGATCTTAATATGTTTGGTCCTTTCATGAAATACTGGATTATTAGCAATCTGGATGGCACTCTTATTATCACAGTAGAGAGGAGTAGGAGTCGTAACAGAAATACCGAAATCACTGAGAAGGCGACGAAGATGAATAATCCCTTTAGCTGTTGTGGACATTACACGATACTCTGCCTCGGTAGTGGAAAGAGCAATAACATCTTGTTTCTTACTTCGCCAGGAAATAAGAGAATCACCAAGAAATATACAATAACCTGTGGTATACTTTTTGGTAGTTGGATCACCAGCCCAATCAGCATCAGAATAGGCAAAGCTCTAACTTAGATATAGCAGGAAACAAAAGAGAGCGAGTGCTAGTACCCCGGAGGTACCGAACAATCCGTAATAAGACAACATAGTGTACAGAACGTGGGGCACTAACAAATTGACTGACAATACCAACAGCATGAGAGATATCTGATCAAGAAATGCACAAATAGACCAACTGACCAACAAGATGTCGATATCGGGTAGGATCAGATAGAGGCTCACCGTCAGTAGAGCAAAGTTTGACATTCTGCTGGAGTGGAGTATCGACAGTTGCATTGTCAGTTAGCTCAGTTTGATTTAGAATATCTAAGAGATACTTCTATTGAGACAGTAATACACCCCGCGGGCCTTGAGAAATTTCTAGACCAAGAAAACACCGAAGAGATCCAAGATCCTTCATGTGGAACTATTGTTGCAACTGAGATTTTGCGTATTGTATACCTGCCATATCATCACCTGTAATGATCATATCATCTACATATATGAGTAATAAAACTCTACCACACGATGTAGTGCGAACAAACAGAGAAGCATCTTGATGGCTTTCCATAAAGCCCGCTTTGAGCACGACATCGCGAAAACACTCAAACCAAGCGCGAGGTGTCTGTTTGAGACCATAAACAGCACGGCGAAGGAGACATACATGTCCCGGAGGAATATTTGACCCTGGAGGCGGTTGCATATATACGGTCTCTGATAAAGAGCCATGAAGAAAAGCATTTTTGACATCCATCTGGTATAAGGGCAAACAATGAGCAGCAGCGACCGCAAGAAGAGTACGAACAGTAGGCATCTGAGCAACAGGAGCAAAGGTCTCCTCATAATCAATACCTTGTTACTGAGTAAAACCTCGAACCACTAAACGAGCTTTTCAACGTTTAATGGTGCCATCAGGACGAAACTTGACCTTATAAACCTATTTACTGCCAACAAGAGAGATCCCAGGAGGACAGGGAATAACATCCCAGGTATGAGTTTGCTGAAAGGCTTAAAATTCCTCAGCCATAGCCTGTCGCCACTCTGGAATTTGAACTGCCTCTTGGAAGGACTTTGTCTCAACAATAGTATGAATGACAGTAAGAAAGTTATGAAAGATAAGTGAATAGGAAGTAACCGAAACATACCGAGCAGGCATGACATGTGGGCGTTTGCCTCGACGAAGAGCAAGAGGAACCTCAGGTGGGGGAGATCCTGGCGCAGGTGCGTGGAGATCAACAGTATTTTCTAGAGTGAGAGTTGTGTCCACGGGATATAGATTAGATGGTGTAAGAGAAGACTCGGGTGAGGAAGAGTCAATAGAAGGAGAGGGAGAGATGTTAGGGAGATCTCGAAAGGAAAACTGAGGTGACGAAGTGGGTGATGCAGTTGACGGGGAAGCATGATCAGTAGAGTGGAGGAAATTAAAGTCATCAGAAGCAGAATAATATGGAGAATCCTCTTCAAACTGAACATGACGAGATATATGAACTCGACGAGTTGCGGGATCATAACAACGATAACCTCGATGTTCTGAACTAATTCCTAAATAAACACAAGAAACTGCTCTGGGAGACAATTTATCACGTTCGTGAGATGGCAGAAAAACAAAACATCGACAACCAAAAACGCGAACTAGATCATAACGGGGAGGATGAGTATAAACACGACTATAAGGAGTAGCACCGGAAAGAGAGCTAGATGGAGTGATATTAATGGCATGAGTCGCGGTGAGAATAGCCTCAGCCTAGAAATGACGAGGAACAGAGTAAGAAATGAGCATTGATCGAGCAGTATCAAGGATATGACGATGTTTGCGTTCAGCAATACCATTTTGCTCATGAGTGTAGGGACATGACTGTTGAAAGATAGTCCCATAAGAGGACATGATAGAGCGCATGGTAGAGGATAGGTACTCTTTAGCATAATCAGAATGAAAAACTTTAATACGAGATTGCCATTGAGTGAAAATCATAGCAGTGAAGACTTGATAAGCAGTAAGTACGTCAGAGCGATTCTTAAGTAGGTAAACCCATGTAAAACGAGAGAAATCGTCGATAAAGCTAACATAATATAAGTAGCCAGATAAAGAAGGTAAAAGACCTGGCCCCCAAATATCAAAATGTACTAAATCAAATAAGGAAGTGGATACGGATGTACTCATTTAAATAGTAAAGCAGTGAATTTAGCTAATTTTCAACCAGTACATGACTCGATATTAGAACTAGATGATACAGGACCAAGTACTTCAGACTGAATAAGACTCTCCAGTCTTTTATTAGACACATGACCAAGTCGTCTATGCCATAAATTGGTAGGAAGCAAGGTAGAGGGTTTTGACGAACGAAGAGAAGCAACAAGAGAACGTGGACATATGGACTCTGGAAGGTGAAGATATTCCAAAAAATACAGTTTGTGCCTCCTACGACCCACCCCAACTGGCTTGCCCGTCTGTGGATCCTGTACAATACAAGTATCAGAAGAAAATGAGACAAATAGGCCCGCCATGCATAAAGAGCTAATAGAAATTAAATTCAAGCACAACTGAGGAGCCACATAGACAGGACCAAGTGTTAGACGACCAGATGGATCATTTTGTGGGGGTAATAGAGCCATACTGAGTAATGGACAATGGTTGTCCAGCAGCTGTGTAGATAGGAGGAAGAGAGGATGAAGTAAAGACAGAGGATAAAAATGAGGCATTACAAGTCATATGAAAGGAACATCCAGAGTCAAAAATCCAGAGATCATTCATACCAGAGACCGAAGGATTAGCTGAAGAACCAGCAAAATGCATACCGGAGAGTTGTGCGGCGGATGTAGAGGTGATATGTTGAAAAGCATCAAGTTGACAGCGAAGACTTTCAATAGCTTGAACAGTAGAGTCTGAAGTAGTAGAAGGTATAGCATTGGCCAGCAATCCTGATGTACGAGAGGGTTGAGACTGAGGGGGTCGCCGACTACGACCAGTACCTGAGGAACGTAACTCAGGATGAAGCTTGAAGCATGTCTCAATGTGGTGTCCTTCCTTCTTGCAATATTTACAAGAGAGCTTAGATCGAGCCTGTGGAGAGGGAACCTGTGGAGAAGTATGATTCATAACAGGAGCAGTGGAGAGCTTAGATCGAGCCTGTGGAGAGGGAACCTGTGGAGAAGTATGATTCATAACAGGAGCAGTGACATGATTCATAACAGGAGCAGTGACAGGTACAGACAAAACAGTCTCGAGTGAAGAGGTAGGAGTGTCTGTTGACAAATTGAGTCGTGCTGTCTGCTGTCGGGTCTCATAAGCAGTGAGAGCTCCTATAACTGAGGCCAAAATCAGAAATTAAGGCTGATGAAGTAGTTGATCAGCCATAGTTGAATATTCAGGAAGGGACTGGAACAGTTGATGCACCTCATGCCATTCGTACCAAGCTAGCCAGTCTTCATATGTGGAATTACGTCCAGAAAGCATGGAGCGAAACTCTGTCCAAAAAGCTTGCATTTGTCCAAAATGGGACTGCAGAGATGAACTACCTTTGCGTTGTAGAGCAATGCGTTGCAGAAGATATGCCTCCCGTGCACTCTGAGCACTCAGTGAAACGTTCAGTAAGACGAGTCCACATGGCCCAAGCAGAGGGAATCGAGCCAATCTCGACAGTGAGACCAAAGCCAACATAGCGAGTGAGATAATCCATGACACGTAATTCCTGCAATTGCCACTCTGAACTCTCCTTGACATAGAGAGCACGAGCAGTCTGAAGATCGACATCACCACTGTCAGAGGCAATAGTACTGGATGAAGCAACAATGCTGATGGATGGTGGAACTGGTCCCGTACTGGTGAGATGATCAACCAAACCAGCGCCACGCAAGGCATTGGTGACAATGGTGGACCACCCTGCCCAATCACTTTGATCATTGAGGGGCAAATGTGGTTTGGGAATCTTCTCTGAAGGAGCCATAACAGCAATGTTGAGACGTTAAGACGTCGAGATGCCGTTATTGACTGCGAAACGGCAATGCCGTTCGTTTGAGGCCGAGAGACGGCTTGAAACGACGATGCCGTTAATTTGAGACCGAGAGACAGTCTTGAAACGACAATACCGTTAAAATAGAACCCGAAGGTTAGAATGAAACCCGAAGGCTTAAAATAGAACCCGAAGGTTAGAATGAAATTAAAATAGAACCCGAAGGTTAGAATGAAACCCGAAGGCTTAAAATAGAACCCGAAGGTTAGAATGAAACCTGAAGGTTAAACGAGAACGCGAAACGCGTTAAGAGGCCGCAAAGCGGCAAGGCCAAAATATCTGGCAGATGAACGCAAAAAAAAAAAAACACATTAAACAGCTACAAAGCAACAAGGCCAAGATTTGGCAAAAGAACGCAAAAGCGTTAAAAATTTTATTGGAAGAGAAATAGCCCCCGCTCTGATACCATGTTAAAGTAAGAGAGAGAGAATCTTAGGTAAATTTCCTTTGAGTTAAATATTGAGTGTGCACATATATTTATACAAGTAGAGGAGTATGAGGTGTGTTCTCCCAAGCAATGTGGGACTAAAACCCACTACAATACATTATTATCAACATACAAATTTAGCCTTGACTTGGTTGAAATCCCAGGAATGCAAACAAATCACGTTGATATCATTTACAGTAACAATTGTCAATTAGAACGAAAGAGAATTCAAAGATTAACTGACAAATATATATTCTTGTTGACTATAAGGTTTCGAGGTGACATTGTGGAAAAGGTTGTTGCTGCTGGACTACGGTACATGCAAGCGACCAGGATAAGTGGTACTTGGATCATTTGAGCTTGACATGGCAAAGATTCTATATGTATGAACCGCTTAAAAACGTCTCTAAACCTGAACAGCAGAAATTGGTTATTGGTGGTGAGGTGTGCATGTGGGGGGAACAGATAGATGCATCAAATATACAGCAAACTATTTGGCCAAGGGCTGCAGCTGCAGCAGGTAATATATGTTAGTTGTAAATGTGATTCTTTTACTGTTGTTGCTATAAGCCTTTAAATAACCAAATAGGTAATATATGTTAGTTGTAAATGTGATTCTTTTACTGTTGTTGCTATAAGCCTTTAAATAACCAAATCATATATATCATTTTCCACAGTAGACAAGGGGAAACCGTGGAAATGGTTGCCCCCCACCACGCACATACACACGCCCCATCTTGGAAAGTAATTCCCCATTGTGATTTCTCTCTTCTGCTGTTTGGATTACAATGAAAAATAGGAAATATTTTTCCCGAGATGGTGAAATA